TGATAATGACTATTGTCATCTTGCTAAATGATAGGCTTGTTGATTGGGTCAAGCTCATTTTTGGTACTTTTGTTCCCAAATAATTTGTTTTCCTATTCAAGCAAGTAACAGAAGTTCATTGATTAATAGTCGTGTTCTGGTTTTCTGGGAATTGCTTATCTCGTGTTCTTGCCCTGCATACAGTGAGCATCTGTCAGTTCCCATAGCAAAATGGTGGGCAGGGGGACTGCCACCTCCTGCAAGGTGGGGCGGCTTGGGGACCATGGGAGAGAGGCACCTGTGCCAAGAGGGACAGCCCTTGCTTGCAGGCACTCTCTGAATGCACAGACAGTTCCTGCCTCGGGTTTGGGTTTGTTGTTTTTGTTTTCTGAAGCTTATTTGCTTTGAAATCTATATACAATATCCTGTCTTGCTCTGTGGATACAGTGATTATCACTGATCCAGTATGAAGTCACTATGACCTAGTTGTTGGTATCTATTTATGCCAATAAATGGCTGGGCATCAGGTTACCCACGGTTGCAGCAAAGTTGGCAGGGTGGGAAACTCAAGACCCTTGCTGTCTGGCAGCAGGTACACCATGGACAGATTTACATGGGTGTTAAATGACCGGCTGCTCAGTGATTACACGCTTGTGGGTGGCTGTGCTTGGGGTAGATGTGAAATCATGGCTGCATGCCATGTCCCCAAGGCCCGTGTAGAGCCCGTGAGGCTAGAACTCCTCTTGAAATCTGGTGACAAAAAGGCAGCACAGTCATCCTTCTGTCTTGTGTGTCTCAGTGCTGGGTGCTGCTGCTTGCTTCCCTGTGCCCTGACCATGTTCTGAAGCAGAGGTGGGCTCCCGGTCACCCTCCTTTTCTGACATGCCAAGTTCAAGGTCTGTTGGCCAGACCCTGGAGCTCTTGAGTCTGCCCTGTGTTTTGGAGACATATGTGTGGATATTTCTTTGTTGGACAGGCTTGTTCATCATAACCCATTAAGCCCCTTGCTGCTTGCTTTCTGTGAATTTAAGCTGCAGGTCTGATGCCTTCCAAGGTGGTTGTAGCCAAAGGACTCTGACAGTTGGTGTGCCAAAAAGTGAACGAGGAGCAGATCCCTTCCTTTGCTGGCAGAGGGGCCACACCGTTTAATCTGGACTCTCTGTATTCATGCTGCTGTGGGCTCCTGTCTTTCCGAAAGTACTGATTTTTGGTTTTGTTTTTTGTTTTAACACTCCCCTTCCCCCACCTTGTAACTCCAGCTTTTGTCTTTGAAGATGTTATCCATAAAATTACAGTCAACACCAACACCCCTGATCTGTGACGAAGGGGTGTGTATCTCCTTCCATTTGTTCAATTCTCTGAATGCCTGCAGACACCGGACACTTTGGCTCCTGGCGTGTGCTGTGCCCTCCCTGTGCCATCACACTTCCATATTTATGCTTTCATTTCAGCCCATGGCCTTTGGGTGCCCAATATCTTTACACTTCAATGATATCAAGGCATCCAAGTGATTAGTTGGCTTTTTGAGATTTTTGAGGCTTTCTTTTGTTGAAACCTTCACAATGCTATGAGCAAGCTGATGTGTTGAGAAAAACAATGCTTTCTAAATTTTCTTCCTCTTTCAAATCTAAGTGATTCTTTTCCTACCTCTTGAGATGAAAAGACAACATAGTGAGCTCACTCTTACCTTCAGTAAGGAATTGCTTTTTAATTAAAAAACAATAAGGAATTTCAGGTAAAAAGATGTATGATATAAATCACCATTCAGATCTGTTTCGCAACTTTTTTTTGTAATTGTTTGGCATGTTCCCCATTTCCGAGGGCTGGGTAAATCCTTTGTGGGTTTAATCTCTAGCCTGCAGGCACATAAAATACATTGCACAATTTGGCCTTTGCATTTTTAAGAATTTTTTTCCTTAGCTCAAATACCTGTAGCATCTTCCCTGCCCTACAGATGGGTGGCATTGAGTGAGGAGGGAAGGGATTGGCTTGGCTTATTTTTAATCCCTCTCTCCTCCCCAGTGTCTCTCCCAACTTTGTTTTTTCCTATGTTAGCAACGTGTATGCTTTGAAATGCAAATAATCCCTGAATATTGCTAGGTAATCCTTCTGCTGCCACATCACCCACCACCCACCCATGCATGCGCTGGCTCTTCCCATCCCAGCAGGATGGATAGCCATGTCGTGCTCTCAACCAGCATGAACCTGCCAGTGCTGTGTTCGAACAGTTGGGACTGGGGCTGTATCAGCCATGGCTGCTAGAGATGTTTTTTGAGAAAACAACCACCTTGGGGCTTTCACTTTTTTTTCTGTGCAAGAACCAAAGAGATGGAAGTGGGGAAATACCAGCAATTCCTGTGGGTTACGTGGTTAGAATTACTGGAAGAGCTCTGTCCTTGCAAATGTCTCCGCACCTGGAGAAAACTGAACACCTCTGAAATGGGGCACTGATGAAAAATACTGTATTCTGGAACAGCAGAGGAGACTGGAGACTCTCCTTCATGGGGGACATCCAGAAAAATGGGTTTGGATTACTGAACCACATAAGAGTTGCCTTGCAACCATAAAAAAATTCCTGCTAAGCACACGCCCTTATTTCAGTGAGGGGTTTTGAATAGAAACCGATGACTTCAGCCCATGCCTTGATGTTTTGCTGAGTAAAGGCTTCCAGATGTGAACACACTTCGGGAAAATGCTGCACCAGTGTTACTGCTTTAGTGGTGAACAACTTAAAAGAGGTAATCTAATATCCTTCAAATTAGCACAGTGAATAAGAGCATTTTGTTCTGCTCCAGGTGTTCATTGCATGGTCACAACTTCCCTTTTGGAGTCAGCTGCTGGGTTGTGCTCTAGGTCTCACCATGGACATGGTCTTTGGTGTGTTCAAATCCTCTGATCTTTGGTTATTTAAAAAAAAAAAAAAAAAGTATTTTTTTACCTCTTTTGGGGACATAATGTTTTGAGTTTAAACCTGTGGAGATTGCTACTGAAGTAGTCAGGAGAGGTGTGAGATATTTTTAAAAGATGACTGAAATGTCAGATTTGGTACAACTCCCAGACTGGTCAGGGTCTTGCTTCCAAGTGCAGTTCAACTCCAAAGTCGACGTTTTTATTTCAACCCTCTGCAAAAGTAAGAAGGCTTCTTACAAGACAAGATGCAACACTTTGTGTGTGGTCTTCAGTGCTTCCAGGATTATAGGGTGCTGTGAAAATAATAGCATCAATTTCATTAGGGAGGTGATGTGTATCCCCTAGAAGGGAGTGTGTGCCCAAGAGAAATAAAGACTGTATTTGTTCATGTAAAAGTGGTGCTTCTTAGTTGAAGATTTTTGACTTTAAGAAAACTAAGATGTAGGTTTATATTCTGATATTCTAAACCAGGTAAAGGTCTAGGGCTTCTGCCACTTGTCTGGAAACGTGGCTTTTGTGTATACAAATACAATACATGTGCAGTAGCTGGTGCATTCAGTGACATACGCAAACCCATCTCCATCGTTCTGGCATGCATTCATCCCTAGATGAACATCCTGACTCTTTCTTGCTCTGTTCCCTCATCCAGTATTCCACTGAACTGAAAAAGCTGTACTGCCAGATCGCCAAGACGTGTCCCATCCAGATCAAAGTGATGACCCCACCACCTCAGGGAGCTGTCATCAGGGCTATGCCAGTCTACAAGAAAGCTGAACATGTCACCGAAGTGGTCAAACGCTGCCCAAACCACGAGCTGAGCCGGGAGTTCAACGAAGGTAAGGAAGGCAGCACGTTGCTGGCAGTCCCTCTCCAAAGCTGCTTGTCTGATGAGTGACCAGTGCAGGGATTTGATGGCAGCTTCACAGCAAACCTGCTGGAAGCAGACATCCCTGCAACACCTCGTACAGCTTTTTATTTCCTGTGCTTAGCAGGAAGCTTCATACTATACTTTAGTTGTCCCTGTGCAAGCACGTTCTTGGGAAGAAAGCACCAAAATAAATCTCACGCCTGCCCAGGTTAGATGGATGTCTGTCCTCATGGCAGGCAATGCCCTTCTGGCAGCCTTTCCCTGCTCTGCTTTGATGACAAGCAGCTGTTCTTGTGTTCAGGAATGAGCTTCCACGTCGCTGGGACAAGGATCTAGTAACAGGATGCAATATCATCTCCAGCCCTTAATCCACGCCTCAAAGACGGAGGGGCTGTTTATCTCTAGCAGAATAACACTAAGTGCCAGCATCATCTGTAGGCAACCTTCCTGAACATTTAACGCTATCGGTCAGTATTAATGTTTTAATCTTTTACTTGCTGCTTCTTAGCAAGGAGCAGCAAGTGTTAGTGAAGGAACACCAGCTTTAAAAATGTGCTAGGGTTTTCTGCAAACTCATAGGCTGGGGTCTATTTTGCCTTGGTCATTTAAGTTCACATAACTTCAGATGAGCATCTGTTTTATTCCACATGTATTATTTATCTCCTACTGTAAAAAAGCCCTTGGTGGTGTCAGTTAGCAGGATGTCTTAGGAGCCCAGATCCCTTTGCTGGTTGCAAAGCAGCCAGCTAGACAAGCACAAAAATAAGTAAGGACTTGGGAGTCCAAAATCAGAGTGAAGTGGACAGGTCTACAAAATATTTTTTCATATTAGAAAGCATTTTTCTAACAGAACTGGATTTTTTAAGTGTTGATACCTGGTTGAGTAATAGAGTTTTTAGGAAGAAAAAAAAAAAAAGATACATTTTTATTCTGAAATAATTATTTCTCTAGAAATATGCTGTATTTATATTAAGAAATGAAAAAAAAGCAGTTAAACCAAACACAAAACAAATTATTGAGATGAACCCATAATAGGCTTCTCTCCTCAGAATTTAGTCATATGTTGTAGTAACACTGAAGAAAATTTGCAGGAAGGAAACTTTTTTAATTATTGGAAAGGGGCCTATAAAAAAAGAAGATTATGTTCCCTTCTGCCACTGCTGTAAGCAAGCAGGATTTTTCAAGTTGACCATTAGTTAAATGCATGTTTCTCTTGCTGTTTGAATCTTTTTTTAGCTCCCTAGGATCAAGACTGAATAGGAGACAACAGGGCTAGCAATTCATAGGATAAGAGTAGGAATTGAAACTTGCAGGAATTTGCTTTGTGTATGCATTTGGGGGAAGAAAAGAAAGGCTTTCAGCTGGTGTGAAAATCCACATGGCGTTATCTGCTGGAAGAGTTGCTGTGAGCTGCCATTCAGTTGACATTTGGGCTTACTTAGTCTGGGATCTTGGGAAGCCCATGTTCAAGTTTACTCACAGGTATCCAGTGCAAGCTTGGCAAAGTCTGTTGCTTTTGATGTCTGGCGGCAGGGACAGGGAAGGGAGCATCCCTCTGCTGGGAGGCACGTGTGTGCTCTGATAGATGGGTGGTTTCCTTTGGTGGAAGATCTTGCTGCCTTGTGTGTGACCTTGCTTCACTAAATGGTGTCTCTTGGGTTTTTTTGCTTCCTTGCCTTTGCAGGGCAGATTGCGCCTCCCAGCCACCTGATCAGGGTGGAAGGGAACAGCCATGCCCAGTATGTAGAAGACCCCATCACCGGGAGGCAGAGCGTGCTGGTCCCCTATGAGCCGCCCCAGGTATGTTATGAGCTCAGGGTGGTGGCATCCCAGCATACAAAGGGCAGGGGGTTGTAACCCTAGTTAAAGGAATTAGGATCCTATGCTTTCCGCATCCTCATCACAATGAATCTCTTCTTCCTTTTATCAAAAATGAGCTTTGAAACATCCTCTCTATTCCTTGAGAGCAGGAGTTCTTAATTTCTTCTAAGGAATCCTTGTAGTGGGGTCTATTTCGTGCTAGTCTGCAGCACAGCTGTGGAAGTACAAGAGGAGAGCCTGGAAAAAGCAGAGCTTTCTATTCACCCTTTCTTCTGCTCATCCCCTTTGTCTCATCCAGGTTGGTACAGAGTTCACAACAGTCTTGTACAACTTCATGTGTAACAGTAGCTGCGTGGGAGGGATGAACCGGCGCCCGATCCTCATCATTGTGACACTGGAAACCAGAGAGTAAGTAGTGCATCACCTTTGCTTGCAGGTGGCCTTCGAGCTCCTCTTCCATTTGGGGCAGCATTGTTATATCCTTGGGGACAGCTTGATGTAAAGGGCCATAGGATAGTTTTGCAGATGGGAGTTGCTCAGCAGCTGGGACACCCTGACTGGGAAATGGGAGGTTTGGGTCTGTCTGTGCATAGACTGGTGTGAAGCTGAGGGATGCTGCTGGCCTGCATCTAAGCTGCCAGTTGATGTTTCCTCTCACTTCTCTTCCCAGTGGGCAGGTTTTGGGCCGCCGATGTTTCGAAGCCCGCATTTGTGCTTGCCCAGGCAGAGATCGCAAAGCAGACGAGGACAGCATCCGCAAGCAGCAAGTCTCCGACAGCACAAAGAATGGTGATGGTACGAAGCGCCGTAAGTAGCTGGCAGAGCTGGGCAGATTGCAAGTCATGCTGTCACTGGGTGCAGGTGCGACCTTGGCTCTTGTGCTGCAGGGATGAGCAGTGCTGTGCATGGGCTTGGAGGCAGGAGAGCATTTGACATCTGTTCTCCCAGGGTCAATCAACGTTAAAAATGAGCTGGTGTTCACAGCATGGGTTTGTGGGCTCCCTTGCAGCACTGCCTGTGTTAGATTAGACCTGCCAGCAGTGGAGGGATGGGATGTTTATTTGTCACCCTTAAGTTTCATGTCTGGGATTCTGTAACCACTTTTTGAACCTTTACTGCTTGTTTGGGACTGCGCTGTCATTCTCTGCTCCTTCTAGCCAGTGTCTTGTGCTGTGGCATGTGTCTTTTAGCCACAGGGATCTACATTAAGACTGCATGTAAACCCTGCTGTGCATCAGAGGTGCTCTGGCAAGTGGTCTCTCTCTGTGCTCTAAAGAGTGCAGTGTACTCATCAGACAGGCACAGTGTGGAAAACCAGCTTTGGTTTCCCACATATGCTCAGTGACGTACTAGGCTGAACAGGAGGCAGACTGGAGAGGGAGCTTTGGTTTTGCAATGAATTCTTCATGTTCCCTGTCTGTTGTCTTGCCTTCATGGATCACCGATCCACCCAACAGCTCCTGAGCACTCTAACGCCAAAGCTCACAGTCTTTCCTGCAACGAGCCAGGGCTTCTTCTAGGTATGGCTTACTGGGGGTTTGCCATATATCCAGTGCTCCTTGGCTGATGTTCCCCCAAGTTGTATGGCCACCCAACATCCACAAAGTCATGTCTGCCTTATGGAGCCAGGAGCCTGCAAGAAGAGTTCTGGAGTGTCTTAGGCAGAGATCTTTCCAGAGCACTGCAGATCTGAGCTGGTCATGTACTCTCATGTCTCTCTTTTATCTCTCTCTTTCTTTTTTCTTCTTATTTTCTTTTTTTTTAAATTTTATTTTTTAAATTTTATTTCACACACATCCCCTTTTTTTCCCTTTTCTTTCCTTCCCTTCCCCCTTTTTGTAATGGGATGCTTTTGGGGTTTCTCTTCCAGCTTTTCGACAAGGAACTCATGGCATACAGATGACATCTATCAAAAAGAGACGTTCCCCAGATGATGAGCTCTTATACTTGCCAGTGAGTTCACTCTATCTTTGCATTTACTTTGTTTAGTATCTTCATTAGTGACTTGAGGCAAGTCAATGGCTGTCTTGGAGACCTAACTGGGTTTCCTCCTCTGTCATTTCTGGACATGTGGCACTTGAGCTTCCTCTAGAGATAATGGGTGTTGTCTTATTGACAAAGGTGGATGCTTCTGTGGCTTTTACATGTATTACCATTGTAATGCAGTGATGGAAGTGAAACATGCTGTCTTGTGTAGGATCAGAAAGGGCAAGAAGTGTCTGTAATTGGCCGTTTAGCTGCTTCCCCATGAGCCACATTTAGTTGGATAATCACAAACCATGGTGTGCTTAGAGGAAAAGGGAGATACAAACCCAGAACCCAAGTTCAAGTACTTTTTTTCCTCAATGCATGTAAGATTCAGCAACAGATCTGCTTACATCTGAGACAGCTAAAGACATTTTCTGTCTAACGGGTTGGATCAGAATATTGCTTTTGGTTGACATAGATTTATATTGAGCCAGATGACAAACCCAAGATGTCCACTAGCCTTCAGTGTCAGAAATCTATCACTCTTCAACATTATCTGCTGTACCTCTAGCACGAGGTTTAGCGGTTTTGTCACGTATTGTTGTGTATAAACAGAATATTTCCATCCTGCAATGGTGTTTACTTGACTGTACCTAAAACTCACTAAGATGGTTGTCACTAAAGACTATAGATGCAGTCCTTTAAGGCTTTCTTTACCCCTGCCACACCCCATTTCCTTTTCCTGTGATCCAGGTGAGAGGACGTGAGACCTATGAAATGCTACTAAAGATCAAAGAATCCCTGGAACTTATGCAGTACCTTCCGCAGCACACGATTGAGACCTACCGACAGCAGCAGCAGCAGCAGCACCAGCACTTGCTCCAGAAGCAGTGAGTATGAGTGTGCTTGTGGTGACCTGTGCAGTGAGGATGGTGGGGAGGAGGGAGAGAGGAGAGAGACACAGAAGGCTTTTGTACACTTGCTCATAGGGATGTGGTGCTCAACTGAGAGCCACGCACTTAGAGAGTACTTCACTTGCAAAATCCTTTCCAACAGCATAGCTGTTTGTTAATTCTATGGTCAGAGCTGCTAGATATCGATGACAGGAGTTTCTGTACGGAACTTGAAAGACTCTGAGATCCAGATTTCATGACCTGTGCAATGAGACAAAGCAGTCCTGATTCCGTGGGTGCGTGTCCTGACTGCTTTCAAGGTCCCCTTCTAGTGTCTTGTCCTACCCTATTCACTTTTTGACAGATTAGTGCCTTGTTCTTGACTTCCAGCTAGAGCCCACGGTGCAGCGCAGCCGCTGAACAGCCTGCACACAAAAACCAGCTGCCCGTGCACACCTGAGCTGGGGAGCACAGGGTGGGTGTGATCTTCTCTTGTCTGCTCCATGGGAATGGCAGAAAACGTGGAGCCATCCCCATGCCTTCTGCAGGGTATCCATCTGAGCATCTTGCCAGGAACATGTGGAGCTGGGAGTGTGAGCACCAGCTTGGCTGAACGCTTGACCCGTGCTGCTGTGTATCTCTGGTACTGTCGGATGTCTGGTGTCTCAGTGGTATACAAATACTGTAGGTTCCTCAGCTGTAAAACAGGAAGCTGAAAGTTGGGAGCAAGGGTAAAACACATAATAAATCATTTGTGAACAGTGGGCACTTCAAAGAAAGATTCTACATGTGCAGTTTTATAGTGTTTTTAGAAATTGTACTTTGTCACTGAGTCTCCACATTGCACATGAGAAACTTTCCATCCAGGCAGACACAGGCCCTATCTGAATTCCGCTGGTAGGACTGCGCCAGGATTACTTTGGGTGGTGTAAGTGCCAGGAGGATGGGGAGAAGAAGAGCCAAATAAGTGTCTGGTTTCCATTTTCCCCTCTGTTCCCAAAGCTTTGCAGTTGCAGAGACTGAGTCAGAGAATGACTTCCCAGACAGACCGTAAGTGGTGTCGTTTGTGGGCATTGCTTCACCTGCCATATCGGGTGACAGAAAATAGCCACCCGGGCTGTAGGTAGCCGCCAGCGGTAGTGCTTAGGATCTCACACGTTCCTGCTGGTAAGCTCACGCGTCAGGAGGCTGTGGGTATAACTCATTCTCTGCAGAGGTTAGCAGGAGGCCAAGGCACCACATAAGTCCCACTTGAGCCTGTAGGGATTTATTTTGGTGCCTTGGCCTTGTCTCAGGACTTCTGCAATGCCACGGCTTTCTGCCAGATCTCTACATGTGTTCACATTTCAACCTGTGTGTATTTAGTGTCAGCTGGAGTCTTGTGGAGGTGTGAAAAAAGCCTTGTGCCAAAATGGCTAGAGCATCCAGGGGTTCTGGACAATTTTTCGGGGCACTTAAAATTATCATTATTTTTATCAGTCATCTGCACTGTTTGTTTATACTACAGCTTGTATTTACTAGCTCCTAGGCATTGCAGTCTTTGTGCACTCAGCTGTGTGTCTTCAAAGCTCCACCTGAACTACAGTCATTTTAGTTGAGAAATGGTTTTGTAAGCAGAAATGGACGGCAGCAGATGACTGCTTTCACTTGGTGCTGACAGTTGCTTTGCCGTAATTACTGTTTTCATTCTTCCTATATCAATAGGATGGGTTCCTGGCAACTAAGGTTGGTATTTGTGTTACCTTTAAGACCAGCATGTGTAAGTCCAGCCGTTTAATTTAATGAAACTTCTTCTGGCATGTCTCCTGGCACTTGTCCAGCTTTATACTCACTTTTCTCAGCTGCTGAGTGTGCTCAGATACTGGAGAGAAAGATTAAGAGCTCTTAAAGATAACAGAAGTGGGGAGAAAAATAACTTCTGAGTGTTTGTCCAGAGCTGCTGCAGTTGTTACTGCCAACAGCCTGCCTTCAAGCATCAGTGCATGTTCAGGCAATAGCTATGTAGCTGCAGTTGGGTTCTGGTGCTTTTTCTTTGATAATCCATGGTTCGACTTAAATTCTGAAGGAATGTGTTCAGGGCGAAGTGGCATTTAAGCTGAAAAGACTCATAGACACAATTCCACCCCAGATATGAATTGCAAAGGAGCTTCAGGTCTCAATGAGAAAGTGGGGGGAGAAGATGTTTTGTAGCAACTGGTTTGGGTAAGAGCAACCTTCCATGCGAGCAGGTTCCTGGGAGATGTCCTGTCACTGCTACCTTGTCAGGCTGGTAAAACTCAGCAGCACAGTGACACCTTTGCGAGTCTGTTCTGGCTTGAAAAGAAAATGCCTTTCACTTTGTAAGTTGGGATGTACTTTCAAAACTCAGTCTCGGTTTGTTTTCATTCAAAGTGTATGTTAAAATTGGGAGCTAGGAAAGTGCATATGCAATAGCCAAGTTCGGATGCATAGGAAGCTGTAGGTACTAGCAGGGCTCTGTGGGGCTGGGATGTTTGCGAGCTGCCTTTGACTCTTTCTTCTCAAAATGGAGCTGCATCCGCAGAGCTCCACAGTCAAGCCTTAATGGAAGAATTCCTTAATTTTTCAGTTTACTTTTCTGAGCAATGGTTAACATAGGAAAGCTATGTGTGTGGGAAGAAGTTTCCCTTTTGTTTCTACAAAATGGAAAGCTTTATCTGTTTTGAAAAGTAGGAAAAGCAAGAATGAGATTATCATGGTGAAAAAAGCAGTTTTAAAAGGATAAATCTGTCATCCGGAAAACAATTGTATAATTGCTGTCATGCACATACAGACCAGCTTTGCATTTGGTGGGCCAGCAGATGCAACTGTCTTACTATTCTGGACTAAAAAGAACAAACCTAGCAACAATCAAAAAGCTTTGTGTCCCAGAAAATGGCCAAAATATTGCAATGCTCCATGTTGTGCCAGACCACAATCTTTCTCTGTCTCATCTCCTCTCTCCGCTCCTTTGTGCATGGTTTTCTTATATTTACTGTTATGCCAAATACCTTCATGATCATAGGTGGGAAGTTTTGTTGGGTTTTTGTTGTTTTTTGTTTTTTCTGCAGTTTCTAGTCTTCGTTTTTCACTGCCAAATCCTGGGGCCCATATTTGAACAACAGCACACACATTTATTTAGACTTCCTTTTCATGGTCTGCCTCCATTTGTTTTAAACACCTATTTGCCAGAAGATCCCTGCTGCCAGAGGTACCAGAGGTGGCTTGTGCAATACAATTACCATTAATATTCCCAGGGAGTATCTGCACAGATTTTAACGGTTTCACTGGAAAACACTTTTTCATATACAGCAAAATTTCCTTGGTGGGTTTCACACTGCTGAGCACTGTTGGCTGAACAGTCTTTATTTCAATTCTTTGTCATAGCATAGAATCATAAAACATTTAATGTTGTAAGGTATGCATAAGGATCATCAAGTACAACTCCCATGATTGAAGGGTTTTTACAAAGTCTTCCAATGGCTACCAAGAAGAGGGCTCTTATGTCCAAGTAGAGTCTTATATCCCAGCAAATATTTCTCTTCTATCAGCAGCTATCAGCCCAGTGGCTGCCTTTCAATCTAGTGAGTAGCACAGCTCATTATCCAACGAGAAGGAATTAACCTCGTGAGTGAGGTATGACATAGCTGAGCTATTCAGTGTCTGGAGTGCTCCACTGAGATGGTTGCTGCAAGGATCCTCACTCTTGCTGTCATGGGGAGGGGGCTGATGGGGAAGGTGTTCTTCATACCTCCACCTAGCTATTCTCGTTTTTGGTGTGGAAGCTAATAGTGGATTTTTGCATGGTTTGGTTTGGTTTTATCGTGCTGTGCTTGCATGCGTTGTGAACTGCAGGAACTCAGTGTTCTCACTAGGGAATTGCCAAAATGAAAGTAAGCAAGAAAAAGTGGGGGATTCCATATATGAAAACATGCTGCATTTGCTTTGCTGGCTCTGAGGGTGCAGTGATTTCTGCATCAGCTGGCAGTCCCAGGGACCCCTTGACTTTAGTCCAGAGGGTACCTCAGCTTTGAAAAAGGGCGTATTTGAGATGTAATCTATATGGCCCTTTAACAGAAGGCACCATCCTCTCTCCTGAGCACCAGCTTCTGGGTTTTAAGTAATTGAAGTTTGAAGTAGGTTCAATGGAAGCTGCTTCTCTCCTTTTCCCCTTTGCTGAGTGCTTTTTTACCTCTTACACTTTTTCCTGGGAACTGTATCAGGACACCTTTAGCCGCCACAAGACTGGGACACAGAAATCAGATTTCCCTATCAACTAGTTCTTTTCTTTTCCTTGCCAAGCACTCACTTGTACCTCGGGCTTTCCAGCTTTCTAAATCTCCCTGTCACATATCCTCATTGTAGGTGCTAAGGCATTTGCTTTTCCTCTCCTTCAAAGCCCGTACTGTGATCATGAAGGTCAAAACTGACTGTTTCTCTCTTGGTGCCTGGTGAAAGGTCCTGTACATTCATCTTTTTCTTTTCTCTGGTTCCTTCTCTACAGTCTCCTTTCGGCCTGCTTCAGGAGTGAACTCATGGACTCAAGGAGAGACCCTCCCAAACAGACCGATGCCATCCTAAAACATTCCAGCCCCCCAAACCCATCAGTATATCCATAAACTGAGCTGGTGGGGTCACTTTGCCCAACTGGCAGGACTAGGAACAGTGGGGCAATTACACAGCCTGACAGTAACAGAATAAATAGAGTAATATTCTGAAGGGACTCAAACTTTGCAAAGACAACAGACATTTGTACAGACCTCTTAGCTGTAGCCCATAGCATTGGGAGGTCAGGAACCACAGTGTTGTCTGTCTTGGTGTAACGTTTTCTTCCTGTTTTTGTAATGCGTTGATACTCCTTCCTCTTCTGTATTTGTGAAACTCATCAGTGTTTCTCTGAGCAGGTCTCAATTTTAAAATGCCTCTTGTCTTGTTTAACTTTAAAAATGTGTTCATGGGCTGGGGGGCGGGGTAGAAGAGGGGTGTTGTTTAAACAGTCT